CTGTTCTGCTTTCTGTGGTTTTGATTTCAGTTACTTGCTGTCAACTGTGGTCTGAAAATATTAAGTGCAAAATTCCAGAAATAAACAGTCCATACAGTTTAAATTGGATGCCATTCTGAGTAGCATGATGAAGTTTTATGCTGTGCAATCTCATTCTGCATCCCACCTGGGCTGTGAATCATCCCTTTGTTCAGTGTATCCACACTGTATATACTACCTGCCTGTTACTCTGTAGCCATCTTGATTATCAGATCAACATTTGCAGTGTATATATAGAGCTTTTGTTTAAGCAACACTTATTTTGCTTAATAATGGCCCCAGAGTGCAAGAATAGCGATGCTGGTAATTTTATTGCACTATACTATTACACTCATTCTCTCTTACTGTTGGTTATGCTGTTAATCTTTTTCTGCACCTGTTTTATCAATCGAGCTTTGTTAAATAAGTATACATGTATCCAAGTTGTGGGTCCTCCACAGCTAAGAGAGACAGCTGCATGCATATGCACATGTCAACTACTTGATATTGTAATTGTACACGGTGCTTTCAACCTGGTTTTGTGACTTAACAATTACATTGGATTTTAAAATGTGCATAAAAAATAAAGAATTATTTCATTTATAGAAAACACATTTTTGAAAAGCTATTTTCTGATACACGGGAAAAGAAGGGAAGTTCCTGGTGACAGAAGTTCATGAACATAGGACATAACCCCCATTAACTTTGAAAATGAGGGTTTTAATTAGAAGTCAAAGTGATTTATTTAATCAGAAGACTTGGTTCTCCTGAAAAGAAAAAAGTCTTTTTAACTAAATTTCTGTGATTGCAGTTATACAAAATTGTCCCAATTATATTTTCTGCAGACACAGTTTTGTAATTAGTGGGGGGAAAGGGAGATAAAGGAGAAGGTGGAAGGGGTGAATTCAAGTGTGACATATTTGGTACATTGTAAGAATTTTATAAATGCCACGTACCCCCACCCAGCACAACAACAAAAGAAGAAAGAATGACAAGTTACAATGGCACTGGCTTGCAGCATACACTACCTACTTGTGACACTGATAGAGCCCAAGTTCCAGGCACAGGTGTAACTGGCTGCAGCCAGTGGCAGGAGCGCACCTGAGGAAGCAGAAGGTGACAATAAGGCAGAAGGGGAAATGGTGACACAAGGTGACCAGAGCACTCTCCGTCCATGATCGCCTCATGAAACAGGATGATTCCTGTCCTCAGATCACAGATGTGGAAACGGACCCACAGAGAAGTTAAACGCCTGCCTTGCCTGAGGTTGCACAGCTATTTTACGGGAAGCAAGGACTCCAGCTGTGTTTTTAATCATTATGCAAAAATGCCTGGAGGAGGAAAGTGAGGCGGCCTCTGCAGCCTTGGGGAGGAGGCTAGGAGGAATTCAGGAGGAAACTGTGTGTGTGTGGGGCTAAACAACATCTAAACAACAAGGCAGGGGAGGGGAAAGGTGGTGGGGGGAAGGAAGAAAGGGGGCGAATGATCAGGGATGGCCACTGTTGAAAGGTTTGAGTCAAAGGGGGGGAGGCATGTAGAGACCCCAACAGAAACCCCAGAGTGGGAAGAGAACCATAAACTTCTCGAGTTGTGTTGAGGAGAGCTCGTAAGACAGAGTGGTCCCAAGCGACGAACCTGTACCCCAGCAGGGTGGGTTCTGACACAGAGGCTGGAATTGGGACTGTCCAGTGACAGGGTATGCATGACAGAAACCATGGGTTGCAGGAGGAAGCCCCAGGGATCAGGCGGGCTGGAGCAGACAGCCATGCCACAGGCCTGCAGAAACCTGCCAGGGCACAGAAGCCACACGGGCAAGACTTTCTGGTCAGAATGGACTGCATCTGAGGACGATCGCATCTGAGGCAGATTATAAGATCATGCTGTCTAGTGAGGTTGTGGCCATGCCCAAGGCATAGTGTGACACATTCCTCCCGTGTTTGGGTGAGGCTGGTGTACACGCGCCCACTCACTGCAGTCACATATAGGCACAGCACGTAGTGCCATTTGCGGTGCACAGGACTTGAAAAAGGTAGTGCGTGATCACAGCACTGCTTTATGGATTTGCTGGGCTGCAGTTTTTACCATTATTTCAGGGTGTGCACCTTTGACTGAAAAACTGTAAGTCAGTCTGCTGTGTTCCTCTGGCTTCGAGTGCACCACGTCTGGTCTTGCTTTAATCTCACATTGTTTTGTCCCAGGGGCAACAGGCCACACCACACGTGTGATTGTGTACATTCATGCCACGCAGCCTCCGTGTGCAGAGGCTACACCGCCCAGGCATGCGTAAGTCCTCTGTGATGCCCCACATTTCTTAGCACAGGTCCCTGTGAACCGACACATGTCTGTGCACACCTGGCACCAGGTGAGCTGCTGCATTCGGATTTACAACTCCTCCCTCTGGGCAGAAGCCATAGGAAAAATAACTGGGTCAAGATTCTTGAGAAGGGCACATTTGAATTGACTCCCAGGAGACAGTTGACTGGAGGAGACTAGATTACAGCAGAAGAGACAGAGCTAGTTAGACTAACTAACCGTCAGACTTCCTTGTGCTGTGAGAAGGAGTGGGATGGAGACAAAGGCTGGCCAAGAGAACCCTGAGCTCCAGTGTTCCAGGCATCAGAAAAACATACTATTTTAAGAGCTAAAGCCCTGGCATTTTGCTGACACACCATCATTCCCGTGACATATTTCTAACAGGTTGACTGAGGCATAATTGACATGCAGTGAACTGCTCGTATTTCACGGGCACAATTTGGAAAGTTTTAACAAGTACATGTATTACTGGCATCGAGTCCTCATTCACACATCCATCTCCTTCAAGATACTTCCCATTTTGCTATGAAGCATCCCTAAGATAACATAAGAAGAAAGCTTGCAAATTTTAATCAATCAAATTTGAGAATATCAAATATTTCAAAGTGGTATTTGTAAGAGAGGACAGCACATGACGGTCGTGTCAACCATTCATAAAGAAACTTTGATCTAAAGTTTAACTATTACTGAGGAAAGAGAGTATTTGAGTCCCACACAAGGTCAACATGGAAAGTCTGTTATCGTTCAGATCTTTCTGAACTGCGCGAAGTTATTGATAAACGAAAAGAGGCTGAGTGTCCCCTCCTGGACTCATGTTGGAGGGACAGTGTGGAGAAGTGGGACCTTTCAGCAGTGATTAGGTCATGAATAGATTAATGTCACTAGCAAGGGAGGAGTTCAGTCATTGTGGGAGTGGGTTAGTTATTGTGGGGTTGGCTATTAAAAAGCATGAGTTTGACTGCTTACACTCCTCTCACCAGGTGATGTCTTCTGCCACATGAGGAGAACAAGAAGGTTCCCATGAGATGTGGCCCCACTATCTCGGACTTTCCAGGTTCCAGAACTATGAACCAAGTAAGCTTCTGTTGTTATAATTCACTTGCTCTGTGGTATTCGGATACAGCAGCAGAAGACTGACTAAGACATTACCAGATTGGTTGTTTAACGTTTCCTGGGTCACAGTTTCTGTGGGAGGGAACTGGGAGAGACTCACTGGGTGTCTGTCACATGGCTACCACTAAAGTGTCACCTGGGGAGGGATCCATTTCCAAGTGCACGCAGGTGTGTGTATGTGTGGGCAGGGTTTGGTATTCAGGCTGCTGGGAAGAGAGCCTCAGTTTTGTGGTAGCCCCCCTCAGCCCCAGGCCTTGGGGTCTCTTGATGGGGCCCTCTCAATGTGGCAGCTGCCTTCTCCAAGCCAGCAGGAGAGGAAGTGAGAGGAAGAGATGAGCTAGATGGAGGCAAGTGCCCATGACCTCTGCCGTGTTTTTTCCTTTAGAAATGAGTCGCCAAGGGGAGGATCACAGAACCTGGCTCAGAGCCTGCCCGCCACAGATGTCAAATCTTTAATATCATTTTGCAAGAGAAGTTCGATTTTTTTATTGCCAACAGTGACATTCTGTGGGCCCAATGAGGTAACTAACCAGATTGGTGTCTGAGCACCTCTGGACCTGATATGACACTACATGACACAATGCCTACTCAAGAAAAGACTTGCCCAAGTCTCCTTGCTTGGCACCTGAGACTGACCAGGGCAATCTGCCTTTTGTCCTTCCCTCCTGAATTAAAGCAGACTGTAAAACAGTCTATAATTGGGTGCCATGGCTCATGCCTGTAATCCCAGCTACTGAGGAGGCAGAGATCAGGAAATTGAGGTTTGAAGCCAGCCCAGGCAAACAGTTCACGAGACCCTGTCTCAAAAAAAACATCACCAGAAAGGACTGGTGGAGTGACTAAAGGTGAAGACCCTGAGTTCAAGCCCCAGTACCACAAAAAATAAACAAACAAAAAACACACACCAAAAAAAAACCCCAAAAAACAAAAACGGTCCATATAGTTACCTACAAAGTGTGTGGAACTTCTTGAACACAGAAGACCTTCCAAAACCTGAATCTTACAAACAAGTCTTAAATCATCCAGCATTTCATTTAAGACCAGTGAGAAGATGCACGAGCAGGCCTCAGGCCTTGTCCCCAGAACTCCTACCATCCCTCTGTCTCAGGAAGACCTGGTGTCAAGTCCTGGGGCCAGCAGCCGCCTGGCAGGATTGACAGACAAGTGCAGGACTGACGGCCTTGAGCCTCTCACAGTCAGCGGGCCTGTGGGGTCCCAGAGGGAAGGGCAACGGCACCTGATTGTGGCCGGATTCCCCAGCTTTGGGACACACCTGCCTGTGAAGTCCTATTTCGTGAGACTATGTCATCCACCCATCCCTTTCCACTTCATGTGGTCACAGAAGCACTATGGGACCATATTTCCATATTGAAAAAAAAAAAAAAAACGGACAAGAAGTAATTTCATATAAAAAGGAATTAATTTCTGAATTCTTGGCCTTAGAATTTAAGAAACTGCACACTCCTATACCAGTGTACTGTCGTGCTCGAGAACCTACAAGAAGCTGAACCCTAAAGAGCTCACTGGGTGGCTGTGCCCTGCTGATGCTCGGTCACCTGCACTCGATGAACCACTGCCGGATCTGGTCCTGAAGGCTGTCCTTGAAGTCCTGTCCTTCTACCAACGCCAGGTCTTTCTTGATGGTCACCAAGGCTTCCTTGTAGCGCTCCTCGTGCTTCAGCTGCACCTCGCTCCGCAGCTGGTTCACCTTCTCCGCCCGGATGAACGTGGCACTGACTTCATCGAAGAGAGGCGGGGGGTTCTGCCAAGAGAAGCCAGAGTGTTACAGATCGCCGGCGTCACAGAGCTGTGAAAGCGCTGGAAATGAGTCCGGTAGATCCACAGCTTCTGTGGAGCCTCGCCAAAGGTACGTGAGAAAGACACCCAGAACACAAGGTCAGCCCAGGCATGAACAGGTGAAGGACTGGCTCCCCCATGGGGACGGAAGACGGGGCTCACACTACACCATTTCCCAAGCTTGGGGAGGGTAATGTCACAAATGCAGGCTCCATGTCACAGCTAGAGTTTCAGTGTCCCTGTAAGGCTTGGTCCCCAGGGTGGTACCACTGGGAGGTCAGTCTAGTGGGAGGTCTTTAGGTTGCTGGAGCTTTGCTTCAAGGAGATAATGGGACCCCAGTCTTTTCCTCCTCCTTTTTTCCTTCCTGGCTATGCAGTGAGTGACTTTGCTCCACCACGCATTCCTGCCATGAGGTGCTGTCTCACCCCAGGCCCAAGTATTGGGGCCAATTGATTATGACTGGCACTTCTCAACTCTTAGCCAAAATAAACCTTTTATCTTTTTAAGTTGACCATCTCAGGTGTTTTGTTATAGTAACAGAAAACTGACTAACACATTCAATAAACCTTAAAAAATTCCTTCACACTATAGAAAGCACAGCTTTTCCAAATCAGACAGTACATAGAAGAAGGAAGTATTCAAAGCAAGAACTGGTGAAAAGAGTTGGGGTGCCCTGATTTTGACAATGAACTACACCAAAATGTCTTTGAAAGCATCAGTTGTATTGCTACAGACCTCCAAAGAGGGAATTCTGCAGCTGGCTTGAGACATCAGTCTGATACTGCACTTGGTACCAGAGTGCTTTCCTTTAGAACCTGCAGATCAGTGAGTCAGCGGGTGAGTGGCTGTGCAGTCACAGCTCAGCCTCTGCAGAGGGAGTGTAAGAGAGACACTCTGTCACTTGAAGACAAAAATCTAAAGAAATGAAATTGGTGGGGCAAGATTCACATATGCCACAATGGAGAACGACCTCAAATAATTGACCAAAGCGCCGTGTTGAGGGTGTGGATGGAAAGAGGTAAAAGAGGACTTGGAGAAGGAAGACATATCCGGAGCTTGTGGTACCCAGGTCATAGCTGCAGAGCTGTAGGACTGTTCTTTACTGATGGAGACACCAAGCGGCAGTTTAGAGACTCAGACAGACTGTCCAGCAAGACAACGGCAAGTCCACTGCCGTGCTGGAGCCAGCCCGTCAAGGCAACTGACATCCAGCTGACAATTTTTTAGGAATTTTGCATACTGGATGTTAAACACAATTTTTAAATGCAAAATGATATAAATTTAATTAAACAAATTATATTGGAAGCAAAGGGTTGTCACTACTCAAACCTCATCACTTCCGAACTGTTTTCCTGGACTTTCCTGCCGCCTCTGCCCTTGCAGTTATGACATCTGCTGCATCTCTGTGGTGTGGTGCCACTGAGCCACTGTGACCCCAGTGGTGCTTAGGTTAGCAGCTTACAGTCAGTCACCATGGGAATGCTTACACCATGAAACTGGCAAAACCCACAAATCATAAATCAGGGCCTGGTTTTATTGTTTTGATTTGTTTGGACTTCAGCAAGTGATAGAGGAAATATAAATAATGAGAAAGAACACAAAGTGTGGTAGGTACTAGCCATATCGTGAACTGTACACACACACACACACACACACACAAACCCACAGAAGCTTTCCTTCTAGTATTGAGAACCCATGATCTAATTCAGCAAAGAAGTGCTCAGTTCTAGAACGTGAATGAGAGAAGCTCTGACATGCAATGTTGTTCCACTTTCATCTTGCTCAGTAACACAAATGCAAATGTCAATCAACAGTCATATCAGAACTATATTTGTCAATTGCAACCACAGGCTGACACCAGAGGCATGAGTCCAGTCACTATCACAGGAAGTACCCTATGAGAGTCAATGGCTGTAAGGAATAGTCATAGAGGTCATAGTTTATTATTTGTAGATTGCATGCACACATCTTTATGTCAGTAACAGTATGGCAAACTTACACTTGAGTACGTATGCATACATTTTATTTTTTTGTCCCAGAAAGCCATGTTTAAGCATTCCCAGCATGCACTGGGTTGGTGCAAGAGCAGATCAGTTGTGTTGGGTCCTCCCCTCCCCTGCTGGTCATCACAGTCTGCCCACCATCCTTCTCCATTGTCTTCCTTCCCAAAGGAGCTGTCGGGTATGCCATGGTCAAAGAGTCCAGGGCAAACCTCAGAAGATTTTTTGCAGAACCAGAAATGAAGTGAATGTCATTTTCCCGGGAAGGGGAGCAATGAAAGGCCAGGTGTGGAAGTGTGAAGGAGACTGTGTGTTTTAGCTCACAACGAGGTGAGGTGGCAACCCTGCTACAGGCAGTAATCCTCACCACAGAGGCATCGAACTGATGACGCCTGTGGCTTTCTCTCCAAAGAGTGTGTTTTAAGTTCATATAATAAAATAAAACACATATGTTTGTGAAGAAACCAGTTACCTGGGCACACAGGTCTAGTTTGTGACAACTGGACTAGGGTCACTGGTTAATGAGAGGAGAACTGCAGGAGCTAAGTGACATTTGTGTCACTTCACATGAAGGGTGCTCACTACCATGGTTTATGGCTACCGATGGAGGGGAACCTCGATCACCAATCACCAGGCAGAGGCAGCACTGTCACATCACCCACTGGGAAGTTCCTCCCCTCACACCACCTCCACACCTCTGTGTGCAGCCCACACTTAGCAGAAGGACTGTGCTCTCCTCCTCGAGGGTGGCGTGTCCGTGCACAGTGGGTGGCAGGTACGACTTGTCTCTGCTTCCCTGGCCATTCAATTACCCATTTATATATAGATGAGTGTGGGCCCATGGATATTTTGTTTTTTGGGTTATAAGCCAATACTGCTGCATTTATTTGGTTGCTCAACTTGACTCAGTTGTGGACATTGGGAGCTCTCCATTGCAGCTGTCTGTGTCACTTCAACATACCGCCACCATCGTGTGTGTGGTGTGTGTATGTTCGTTTTACCTGTGCACAATTTCATGGCTTCACATTACTAGCTCCCCAGTTCCCTTTCATGCCATCTTCTCCCACCCTGCCAGGTCGGTCTTGTCCCTCAGAGGCACACTGGGCCATGAGGACTGAATTGAACACAGAAAGCCCTGTTATAGAGCCCGCATGGCGGGAGCACAGTGGGTGTTTGCCATAGTGGCTATTGTGAGGGCTGTCGTGCCAGGGTGCCCCAACAACCATGCAGGTGGAACCCAGGAAGGCCAGGGAGCTACTTTGGGGCTAAAAGAACAAAATTAAAGTTCCTTTCAAATGCTGTGAAGCAAGAATACCACAACATTCATGACCTCTCTACATAAGGCATTAGCAAAACTATAAATTTAAATTGACTACTATAAAAGATTATCTTAAAGATTCTATTTGTGCCAGGTACTGAAATAAATTCAAAGCAGCAGATTAAATGCTAAAGGTAATAAGCATGTACGTGCCAACGCACACACTGGACAGGGCAGGTGGTGACAATGCTCACCATGGAGATGTTATTGAAGACAGTCCACTTAAGGCCATAGTCAAGTGAAAAAAGAAGAAAATCACTTATGTGATGCTTTCTAAATATTTATACCAGACAACTCAAGAAAATGAGGCAATTTTCTAAGTTTAGTACAATGAGCACTCACAACTTTTACAAGAGGGAGAAACCCCTAAAACACACGAATAGTAAAGACAGTGAGAATTATAACATGACCTTTAAGAACAATGATAAAACAAACAATTGACATCCATCCCTTCATGACATGGGCTCGATGCCTGACTTCCCCTTATGTTATGTAGTTAGTGTTGGAATTAAGAGAGGCATTTCCCACATTTAGTCATTATAAGAGGTAATTCTTTTACCTTCTAGGTAATATTTGTCATGCCTAGTGTTTATGTTTTAAAGGTATGAAATACAAGGAGGGAGAAGACCCAAATTAATAAAATCAGAGTTGAAAAGGGGACATAACCACAAATACCAACAAAATCCAGAGAGCTATTAGAGAGTACTTTGAAAAATTATATTCAAGTAAACTGGAAAATCTACATGAAATGGACAAATTCCTAGATGCATATAACCAACCAAAATTGAACCAAGAAGATATTAACCACATAAATATAATGAAATTGAAACAGTAATAAAGAGCCTCCCTACAAAGAAGAGCCCAGGACCTGATAGATTCATGGTCTAACTTTACCAAACCTTTAAAGAGGAACTAACACCAATACTCCTCAAACTTGTCCAGAAAATAGAAAGGGAAGTAAAACTACCACACTCATTCTATGAAGCCAGCAGTACACTCATTCCAAAACCAAAGACATAACCAGAAAAGAGAATTATAGACCAATATATTTAACAGATACAGATGCAAAGATTCTCAACAAAATACTGGCAAACAGAATTCAACATTACATCAAAAAGATCATACACTATGAACAAGACGGTTTCATTCCAGGGATGCAAGGATGGTTCACCATACAGAAATCCATACAGCATATAAACAGAAGCAAGGACAAAACCCACAGGATCCTCTCAATAGACCCTGAAAAAGCTTTTGACAAAACCCAAAAACCCAGAAACTAGGAATAGAAGGAATATTCCTCAACACAATAAAGTCTATATATGACAAAGCTCGAGTCAACATCATACTAAGTGGAGAACAACTGAAACTGTTCCCCTTAAAATCAGGAACGAGAGAGCTGTCTGCTTTCTCCACTCCTACTCAATATAGTTTTGGAATTCCTAGCCAGAACAATAAGACAAGAGCAAGAAATAAAAGGGATCCAATAGGAAAGGAAGAAATCAAACTATCCATGTTTGCAAATGATATGATTGTATACCTAAGAGACCCTCAAATCTCCACCAAAAACCTACTAGAAATCATAAACTCTTTCAGCAAAGTATCAGGATACAAAATTAACATACAGAAATCAGTAATTTTTCTTTATA